TCGTCGTACCACGCGTTGACGCCGCCGACGTCGTCGACGTCGTTGCTGACGTAGGACGCGTGGTTCGCGCCGAAGTTGTGGCCCGTCTCGTGGACGAAGCTCGGGTCGTAGTTCGTCGCGCCGAGGTTCAGGAACGCGCCCTCCTGGGACACGTAGCCCGTGCCCGCGGCGCCGTTCGCCTGGCAGTAGGGGACGACGACGACGTTGAAGTCGTAGGACTCGCGGTCGTAGCCCTCCGCGAGGGACGCGTGGGCCGCCAGGACGTCGAAGGCCTCGGGGTCGCCGTCGTAGCCGCCGCCGTACCAGTCCAGCTCGTCGTGGTCGTCGCACGTGCTCTGGTCGTAGTCGACCTCCAAAATCGGCGTGATCGCGACGTCCACCGTGAAGTTGCCCCAGCTGTTCGCGGTCCAGAAGTCCTGCGCGAGCGCGACGACCTCCTCGAGGTAGGAGATCACGTCGCCGCCGTGGTCGCTCGCGATGAGCTCGTAGTCGTAGGCCGTCGCGCAGTCGTCGCTCGACGGGCAGATCACGGAGACGAGCATCGTCTTCGCGCCGACGATCTTCTTCGAGTACTTGTCGGCGACGCGGGCGACGGCGCGGGGCCGCCCGGCGGCGAGGCGCGCGAGCGAGCCGCTCTCCGGGAGGGCCTCCGCCGCGGCCTCCGCGGCGGCGACGGAGGGGAAGGGCACGTCGCGCTCGCCGCCGCCGGAGCAGAGCGCGCGGCGGCCGCGCTCCCGGCAGCGCGCGGTGCCGCCGGCGGTGACGAAGACGCCGTCGACGACGGCGCCGACGGCGGGGCGGCCCCGCGCGGGGCCCTCGACGCCCGGGCCCGCGTAGGGGAGGATCGACGACGAGCCGTCCGCCTCCCGAAGCCGCGCGGTCGTCTCGGTCCGCGACCGCGCGCGCGCGTCCTCGCGCCGCCGCGGCGTCTTGACCTCGACGATGAAGTCCGCGGCGCCGACGAAGCCGCGGTCCGCCGCGCAGCTCGCGGGGAGGTCGGGCTCCGCGCCGCGGAGGCCGTCGAGGGCGAACGACGCGTCGACGGCGGCGGCGTAGTCGCCCGCGGCGACGAGGGACCGGAGCGCGCGCAGGCGCGCGTCGCAGGTCTCCTCCGTCGCGTTGCGCAGGACCGCGTCGTGGGTCCGCTGCGCCGCCTCGGGCAGGCGCCGCGCGACGACGCTCGACCGGCGCCGCTCCGCGAGGCGGCGCCGCAGCGCCGCGGCGGCGTGCGCGGGCGGCGGCGCGGCGGCCGCGGCGGCGCACGAGAGAGTTACGGCGTATATGAAGCGCATGGTTACGAGCGCATGTCGTGGCTCTTCGCCCTGTCACGGTGCAAACCAGACGGGCTGCCCACAGAATTTTGGGGAAACTTGAAAGATACAGCTGTACGTGCCGTGATCAGGTCGAGATGGGCCACCTTCGATAGCTGCGGAGCAGCGAGACTTGCTTTGCTGCAGCGATGGAGCCCGCGGACCCGGCGGATCCGCGCACGTGGACGCTGCAACGCGTCGTCGGCCACGGCGCGGCCTGGTCCCTCCTCTTGCCGCCGGCCACGCGCGCGCTGGCGCCGGCCGCGCGGCGGCTGGCAGGAGAAGACGTCCTCCTCAACGCGCTCGCCGCGGCCTGGCTACCGACGCGCCCGATGCACGCCGGCGCGCTCGGCGTCTTCGGCGGCGCGCTCGAGGACTACCACTGCCGCGTCGCGTACGACGAGGCGCGATCGGAGCGGCGCCTCCGCGAGCCGCGGCTCTGGACGGCGCGGACGCTGGTCCCGTCGCTGCTCTTCTTCGCGCACCCGGCGCTGGCGTGGTGCGCGCTCGACGGCGAGCTCGTCGGCAGCAACTGCGCGCTGGCCGCGCTCGAGGGCCGGCCCGTGCGGCGCTGGCCCTTTTTCGCGGTGCTGGACGCCGAGCGCCCATCGACGGACGGGCGGTGTTGCCGCGCGAGGTACCTCGACCACCGGCCGGCGTCCGAGTGGGCCTTGCTGTACCGCCGCGTCTCCGGCGGCTACTACGAGGTCGAGCGGCGGCCCGAGAATAGTAGGTGGGAGGTCGTATAGCCCCCTTGAGTTCCGCGCGAATCATCAGTTCTCCGCGGCGACCCGCGCGGCGGCGTCCGCGCGGGGGTCGTAGTTGTTGTTCACGAGGTGCTGCATGGTGTCGGCGAGGAACACCTCGATCCTCGATCCGACGCACGTCCGGCAGCGCGCCTCGGTGTCGCAGGGGAGGTGCCGGACGAGGATGTCCAGGCGGTTCACGCAGTCGGCGTGAAGGCAAGTGCCGCCGGCGGCGCCCGTGCACGCCCCCGGCACGCGCGCGGAGATGGTGCGCGTGTGGACCATGAGATTGCGCAGGCCGCAGTGCTCCCCGTACGCGCCGAAGGAGATGACGCCGCGTTCGTCCAGGGTCGCCTCTTCGACGAGGACGTTCTGGGCGCAGACGGGGCACGTGTAGCCGACGTGCGGCAGGCGGTTCGAGCCAGTGTCGAGCCAGTGGCGAAGCCCCTGCATCACACAGGGCTGGCACAGCTTGTGCCCCGCGGCGCAGACGCCGTAGTCTTCGATCGACGGGGCGAAGGGGCCGCGGCAGGCGATGCAGCGATGGGCGCGCGCGTTCTTCGGGCGCGCGCCGCAGGTCTTCTTGTGCTGGCTCCACGCCGCCTTCTGGCACTCGCGATTACAGTAGCTCGGCCCGCCGCACGCGCATTTCTTCGGCGCGTCAGAGCTCCCGCAGAACTCGCACGCCCCGACGTCGAGGGGCACCCCGGCGGCCGCGCGGCGCGGAGCGCGCGGAGCGCGCGGCGACCGACCGACCGACGCCGGCGCCGGGTCCTCCGCCGCCACGCCCAGCAGCTCGACCTCGCAGGCCTCGATCGTGGCCTTCACGGTGCTGAAGTCCACGCCCAAGCCCCTGGCGACCGCGCGCACATCGTCGGCGAGACCGCCGCCGCTCGTGAGGCCAGACTCGACCAGGAGAATGTTCACGCGCTCCCGCGCCGACGGCATCGTGGGGCCTTGAGAGTCACTCGACCATGCCGATCCGGACTCGAGGGCTTGCCTGGGCGGGCTGCCTACTTACTAGTAGATACTATTGTAGGCTAAGCGGCGGAGAGCATGGGTGCTGCGCCTCGATAGAAAAACGCACTAGGCTGCAACGCTGCTAGCATGTCGCTGCCGCACTTGGTCGAGGCTTACCCCGACGAGCCTGCGGCGGAGCTCGCGCGCTTCGCCGCCGCGCGGCCCGGCAAGCCCGCCGACGCCTTGAAGCTCTACAAGCGCTACCGCAAGTGGCGCCGCGAGGACGGCGCCGCGGACGCGCTCGGCGCCGCCGCGCAGCCGGCGGAGGCGCGCGACGCGCAGTTCGCGGCCCTCGGCGGCCGCGTCGGCGGAAGCGACCGGCTGCTCCTCGTCGAGGGCGCGCGCTACGCGTTGGACGTCCCCGCCGAGGCCTACGTCGCGCTGCTCTGCCGCCGCATGGACGAGGCGCTCGCGAGCGACGCGTCGACGCGCCTCGTCGTGCTCATCGACGCGCGCGCGGGCACGGGCTGGCCGAACCCGTCGGCCCTGAAGCTCGTCGGCTTCCTGCGGCTCTGCGCGGGCGCGATCCCGAACCGCTACCCGGAGCGGCTCCGCCGGGTCGTCGTCTACCCGCTGCCGGGGTGGGCCAAGACGCTCATCGGGCTCGTGACGCGCCTGCTGGAGCCCGTCACGCGCGACAAGATCGAGGTCCTCGCCGGCTCCGACTCGAAGGACGCGCCGTGCCCCGCGGGCCTCGCGAAGCACGTCCGTTTGGACGCCATCCCGGAGCACGCGCGCGCGCGGCACGCGGCCCTCGCGCCCGAGGACGCGGCGGCGCCGGAGGACGTGGCTCCGGAGGACGCGGTGAGGTAAGGTCTAGCGCGGCGCGCGGTCGCACGGGACGTCCATCTCGAAGCAGGCCAGGGGCGCGCAGCCGTCGCAGCCCGTCTTCCAGCGCCAGAGGTGCTCGCGCCACGCGTCGTCGACGGGCACCATGAAGACGCTGAGCCAGTCGAGGGGGGGCTGCGCCCGGCCGAAGTCGTCCTGTTTCGCGCCGTGCCAGGCCCGCGCGCGCGCCAGGTACTCGTCGGGCGACGACAGCGGGTTCACGTCCGCGTTCGCGACGGCGACGCCGAGCGTGCTCGGCGGGTACGCGTCCCGGTACCAGTCCAAAGCGTCGTAGTAGCGGCTCAAGGAGAAGTAGTACGTGTCCATCTCGATCCACCGGTCGACCTTCGAATTCCGCAGCAACGCGAGCAGCTCCGGGTTCGTCTCGTATTTCCAGGGCGCTTCCAAGCAGGGCGCGTTCTTCACGTAGGGCGCGTCCTCGATGCCGAACATGGCCTGGACCGCGACGGTGATTTCCGTACGTTGCTCGTGGACGGCCTCCGAGAGGTCGTCCATGACCTCGATCCATTTCGTGAAATTCGCCAGCGTCGCCCGCGGCGCGCACTCCGTCTCCTCGTCGAAGTGGATGCCGGCGAGGTTGCGGAACGTGCCCCTGCCGCTGGCGACGAGGGCGACGGCGGAGTCGACGAACGTCTTCGGGCGTTCGAGCGCGACGTCGGGCAGGCCCCCGACCCACATGTCCGGATCCAGATCCATATCGGCCAGCGCCTGGAGCACGCGCTGGCAGCCCGGCGCCTCGTACTCCGTCATGTTGACCTCCAGCGTGCCGTTCACCCTGTCGACGTACCAGCCGCAGCCGCCCAGCATGACGCGGTCGAAGAGCCCGCGCCAGGACGCATTCCGCAGCTGCGCGAGCGTCCCCGCGACGTACTGCGGGCTCGCCGATGCCCAGACGGCGACGCGGCGGTCGCGCTTTGCCGAGGCGGACGCGACGACGAGCGCGATGGCGCGGAGGCTGCGGCCGCCCATCGTGAGGGCTGCCCTAGGGCCCTCATCAGAATTCTCGACTCGGAGCCTGGCCGGGGGTCTCGAGAGCATACATCCCCTCGAGAGAGACACGACACAAGGCAGACACTTAACAGTCGTCGAGCTCGTTGCGGAAGCGCCGCTGGTTCTTGTCGAGCTTGCAGAGGGCGCAGTAGGCGCCGAACCCCTCCGCGGCCGCCCAGGCCGCGCCGAGGAGGTAGGCCTTCTGCGCCGCGTATTTCAGGGGCGCCTCGGCGAGCGCGAGCGCCGGCCCCTCCGTCGCCAGGCGCAGCGCCAGCGCCGCCACGGTGCCGTACTGGAACATGCGCTGCCGCGCCTCGACGCGCGTGAGCTGCGCCTCGAGTTCGACGGACCGCGTCCGCAGCGTGAGGTCCCCCGCCTCGATGCGCTTGATCGACGCGTCCGTCGACGCCAGCCGCCGCGGCGCCGTCACGAGATGGTTGACGTCGATGGGCCGCCAGCCCACGCGCTCCAGCAGCTCGAGCACGCCCGTCTTGTAGCGGCTGCCGTCGCGCAGGTCCGCGAGCTCCTGGAGGTAGGGCGCGCTCAGCCGCGTCAGGTCGTAGCCCGGGTCCAGCGACTTGCCGATGCCGTCGATGGTCGTGATGGCCCGGAAGATGAAGGTGAACTTGGGCGGGAAGACGAAGGGCCGCTCCGCCTGCGTCGCGAAGAGGTCCTTGCCGATCTGCGCGCGCCGCTCGCGCCGCGCCGCCCGCTCCTCCTCCTCGGACATCTCCGTCTCCCACTTGGCGCCGTCGTTGAGGCCCGTGACGCCGCCCGCGTTCTTCGAGTCGACCGTCGACGCGAACGACTTGACGTAGTTCGTCGCGATGCGCTCGATGGAGTAGCGGTCCAGGCCCGGCCGCAGCACGCCCATCTGCTCGAGGGCGTCGCAGGCCGTGATGGGCTGGTTCTTGTAGAGCGAGTAGACCAAATCCACGAAGCCCTTCTTCACGTCGGGCTCGATCGACTCCATCATGCCAAAGTCGTAGTAGATGAGGCGCCCGCCGGGGCAGCCCTCGTCGACGGCGACGTTGCCCGGGTGGGGGTCGCAGTGGAAGAAGCCGTGGCGCGCGAGCTGCTCGAGGTAGGACGTCGTGAGCCGCTGCGAGATGAGCGGCAGGTCGACGTCCATCTTCTCGAGCGCGGGCACGTCGTTGATCTTCGTGCCCGGCACGTACTCCATGACGAGCACGCGCGACGTGCAGTACTCGTCGAAGGTCTTGGGCACCTTGACCCAGGGCAGGGGCTTCGCGTTGCCCGCGCCCTCCTCGAAGGCCCGGCGGAAGCGCTCCGCCGCGTCGCGCTCCACGAGGAAGTCGATCTCCCGGTAGAGCACGCCCTCGGACGTGTCGGCGATGCCCCGCCAGTTCGACGACACGCCCTCGTTCTCCGGGTCCACGCGGTCCGCGACGGAAGCGAGGAAGCGGATGTTCTTGCAGTCGACGTCGAACTGCTCCACCAACCCGTCGCGCTGCACCTTGACGACGACCTCCGTGCCGTCCTTCAGCGTCGCGCGGTGGACCTGGGCCAGGGACGCGGCGGCTAACGGCGTCGCGTCGAAGGACGCGAAGACCTCGTCGAGCTTGTTGATGCCGAGCTCCTCCTTGACGATGGCGACCTGGGCAGGACAAGGGTGATTCAACGTCGCTTCAACGTGAGTGTGCCGCGCGCGCGCGTTCCGGAAAAAGCATCCACGCTTCGAGACCGTTCCGAGAGATGATCGCTCGTCCAAAAATCAGCCGAAACGAGTGGAACATGGCCGAGATCGGAGCCTTTGAAGTTGGGAATTTCGCTCTCTTGTGCCGCCCCGATCGCGACGGCGCGCGCCGTGGAGAAGCAGGGCACCTCGTTCTGGAGCGTCGCGAGCTCCGCGATGACCTCGGGGGGCAGCACGTCGACGCGCGTCGACAGGAGCTGGCCGAACTTGATGAACGTCGGGCCGAGGTCGAGCAAGGCGTCGCGAAACAGCGCCGCGAGCGCGCCGCGCGCGGCCACGGCGTCCGCGCTCTGCTTGTCGGCGAACTTGCGCCGCTGGCGCGCGACGCGCCACCCGAAGGACACGGCCGTGCGCCAGATGGACGCCGTCCGCCCCGCGGCCCAGAGCCGCCGGCTCCGGAACGCTTTTCGCGGTTTTACGTCGACGGCCGCGAGCGCCTCCGCGGACAGGATCGCCGCGTAGTCGTCTAAAGCCTCCTCGTCGACGGCGAGCTTGGCGACCTCGAGCGCCGCCCGCACCTCGAGCTCGCCGAGGAACGCCTCGGTCTTCTCGAGCGTCGTCAGCGCGAGGTCCTCGAGCTCCGCGCCCGTCGCGGCGATCTTCGCGCGCACCTGGTCGTCGAGCGCCTTGCGGTACTCCTCCGTCTCCTTCAGCCGCGCCTCCAGCAGGCTCTCCGTCTCCTTGAAGCCCAGCGTCGTCGCGCGCCGCCCGATGTCCGTGAGGCGCTCCATGACCGACGAGCCCACGGGCGTGCCCGGCGCCGCGGGCCGGGCCAGCGTCCCCTGCCTGCGGAGCCGGGGCAGGCGCGGCCGGCTGGGGCCCCAGGACGTCGCGCCGGGGAGGAGCAGGGCGACGACGAAGACTAACATATGTGTTCTCAGCGGCTGGATGGCCATTGTCTCGGCTCGATCTGCAAGGAGCCGACCTCGCCGACGCCTTCGCCGCAGATTGGCAGCGCCGTCGCGGTCGCTCGCGGACGTCTCGGAAGAGACTTCTCGTTGGCCGTTTGTGCTGGTCTGGTTGCGTGCTCGGCGTCGGTAGGTGCGTGAGCTGTTTCGACGCGCGCGCCGCGTTCGCGCGCGCCGCGCGGCGAATTCGGCGCCGGTGGCCGCGCCGGGCTCCCGTGAGGCGTGCCGGGCGGCCGAGAGACGGCCGGAAAAGGACGTGAGCACAGCGTCGAGACAACATCTCGACGTAAAGTTCAAGTTGTGCTCTTCTTGCGGCTCGCCGCGTACGCTTAGCTCGTCTAGTTGAGGTCCAGAAGTGCTTGCAGGCCGACCAACAACCATGCGCTCGATTCTCGCACTCGCGCTCCTCGGCGAGGCGCTCGCCTTCGGTCTTCCCCAGCCTTTGACCAAGAAGACCGGGCTCTGCCAGCAGCGCAATGGCCTGAAGCCGGTCCCCGCTTCGCTCTTGGCCCCCGCACGGTCGCGCCAGTCGACGACGGCGCGCGCCGTGGCGACGAGCGGCGGCGAGGACTCGTCGATGATGGAGACGCTCAAGACGGGCAGCTTCTTCGCCCTCTGGTACCTCTTCAACATCGGGCGCGCGCGCGGCGCCTTTTCGCGCGTCCCGAATCTCGGTTCAACCTAGACCCGGCCGCAGGTACAACATCTACAACAAGAAGGCGCTCAACGCCATGCCCCTGCCCTGGACCCTGGCGACGGTCCAGCTCTTCGCGGGCATCCCCTACGTCGCCCTGCTCTGGGCCACGGGCCTCCGCAAAGCGCCGAAGCTCTCGACGGACAACGTGAAGACGCTCTTCCCCGTGGCCATGGGCCACCTCGGCACGCACATCGGCGCCGTGATCTCCCTCGGCGCCGGCGCCGTGTCCTTCACGCACATCATCAAGGCCTCGGAGCCCGTCGTGTCCGCGGCGCTGTCGGCCGTCATGCTCAAGGCGTACTACAGCCCGATCACGTACCTCACGCTCCTGCCCATCGTCGGCGGCGTGGGCCTCGCGTCCCTCAAGGAGCTGAGCTTCACCTGGCTCGGCTTCGCCGCGGCCATGCTCTCCAACGTGTCGTCCGCGCTCCGGGGCATCCTCGCGAAGAAGACGATGGGCGGCGGCGTCGGCGAGAACATGAACGAGACGAATTTGTACGCCGTGCTCACGATCATCGCCTTCGCCGTGCTCCTGCCCGTGTCCCTCTGCGTCGAGACGCCGGCCGCCGTGGGCTCCGCCATCGACGCGGCCGTCGCCGCGGGCCACACGAAGAAGGATCTGGCGGTCCTCTCCGCGCTCTCCGGCGCGTACTACTACCTCTACAACGAGGTCGCCTTCCTCGCCCTCGGCCGCGTCAACCCCGTGACCCACGCCGTCGGCAACACCATCAAGCGCGTCGTCATCATCATCGCGTCCGTCATCGCGTTCAACACGCCCATCTCCACGCTCGGCGTCGTCGGCTCGTCCATCGCCATCACGGGCACGCTCCTCTACTCCCTCGCCAAGCAGCGCTTCGGCTAGGGGGCGGGCGGACGCGGGCCACCCAAGCACCATCCGCGGCCCGCGCGCGCGCTCCGCGCGCGCCCGACCCGACCCCTCCGGGCCCCTTGCGCGCCAGATCCTCCCGTAAGTGCCACGGTCCGTTCGGTGCCGGGGGGGTTCGCCTCCACCCCGCGGTTTTGGGAGGCGTCGGCGGCACTGAAACCTACTACGTCGTGCGTTGAGAATAGGACTCCGCTCGAGTCCTCGCTATGTGTGCACCCTCTACCGGTGGAATCTGAAGGTCTTGGAGTTCATCAAATTCGAAGTTCTTAGTTGAATCATGATTGCGAATTTCTTTCATTCGAATTTCAATTCGTGAGTTGATATAATCGGTAACTTTTGAGCTAGTGGTAACATACGCATGATAGTCTGGTGACTCCATCACAATTTGCTGTAGTGAGTCATTGAAGCTTGCTTTCCAGGCTTCTGTTGTATCCGGTAGATCCTCCAAACTTCTCGGAAAATGCATGTCGTTTGGTTTGCTTGCCTTCTGAAACTCATTATTAGCCTTAGAATAGCTAAACTCCTTACTGGTGATGATACCCTTGGAAAAATGTCTGGATTGTTCCGAACTAAGTACACCAGTGTACCAGCTAGAGTTGCCCATAGTTGGGTCAGTTAGTTGCTGCTGCTTCAGCATGGCGTCTGCTGTAGCATCGGCATTAAGAAGTTCCTGGAATTCCAATTGCTTTTTGCTGATATTTGTATTTTGACGCAAGATACTAGTCATGGTTCTCACAGCATTGCCAATTAAAGTTATGCCATCTGTATTCCTGCGTTCCTCTGGTGACTGCTGTCTGAGAGTATCGATTTCAGCTTGCATTCTGGTAATTTCATCCTGATGTTCTTGTCTTTCTGCCTCTCGCTCAGCTGCTGCAAGAGCTTCTGCATCCCGACGAGCTGCTTCTTGACGAGCTGCTTCTTGCTGAGCCAGCTCTTCTTCTGTTGGCTCGGGTTGGTCTTGGGGTGGTTCATCTCCTTCGGGTTCACCACCTTCGGGTTCTTGCGGTCGAGGAGCCCTTGCGGCACGCGCGGGGTTACGTCTACCCCCTTGATCTGCATCCCCCATATTTCTGTTACGAGAAGAGATCCTTAAAGTGTTAGCCTGTTAAGCGAATTTTCCGAAGTTCCGCTGTAATTAGCTAATCTACCATGTAACGAAGGTAAAGAGTCTTGGGTCAGGATTAACGCTGTGGGCCCATAACCCTTGAGGGGAAATGGCAGTGTTCCTGACTTAGACTGAAAATGAAAAAGTGAGATGGGGCTGCTGAGCAGCCCTGATTCCCAACAGGAGAGGGTTACTCTATACTGTCTTAAAGTGGAATAGAAAGAGAGAAAGGGAAGGAAATTGGGAAAAGGAAATTGGGAAAAGGAGGAAGGACCCCTATACTAAAGTGGGGACCTCAGTCTCATGAAGATATGAGACTGCAAGGTAGGGAGAAAAGGGAGAATAAGCACAGTGGGGCAGATACAGGAGAATCTTCCTCCTGAGGGTGATCTCCGCCGAGATACTCAAAGCGTCGTCAGCTGGCGATTGGTCATCGGTCGAAGCGGAAATAAACTCGGGCGCCTTCAGCGTGAACGACCAGATGGAAGTTGGTTACAGCGACAACGGGGAGACGCTCCTTTGTTACAGCCTGAAAGTTCTTGACAACGGGGAGACGCCCCTCGCGTTCGTGCGCAAGCTCCTCGAGTTCGGCGCGGACCCGAACATATCGAGACAGGATGGTTCTGTGCCTCTGCATTTCGCGTCTCACCCGGACCAAGCCGCGCTTCTCCTCGCGTACGGCGCCGAAGTAGACCCTCGAGACTCGCAAGGCCAGACACCACTATTGTGGCGCACGGAGTTGGCAAAAGATCTTCATTTTAATGATAGAGAAATTGATCGCTTACCTGATTTAGTCAGAACACTTTTGCGACACGGTGCCGATTACGACGCCCAAGACAGTCGCGGTATCGATGTGCATGAATTGGCACAGAGAGGAGCCGGGTGGAAACGCCAACAACTCCGCGAACGCAGCCACGGCCTCAGCTACAGCGCAGGCTTGAATGAATACTTCATGGACCAGGTGGACTGTTTCGAGGACGTCCGCGATCTCATCGAGGCCCTGCGCGCGGCCGGATCCTGGAAACGGCTGTGCCGGGAGCCCTTCGTGCAGCTCCAGTCGCTGCGCTACCTCTGCCTCGCGGAGCGCGCATTTCCGCCGCCGGCCCTCGCCCGCTGCTTTGGCTTGATGACCTATGAAGCGGGGCCGCGGACCCGCGGGCAACGCAAAGCGAGCGGCGCCGCGCGCGCGCCGCTCCCGGACGACGTCTTCAAGCTCGTCCTGTCGTTCGGCGTCGACCCACCGGCCATCACCCGCAATCGAGGGTGCGAGGCGTGCCGTTAGTACAAGCCGAGCGCCCAGTAAGCTTACAGCCGCGCCCCGAGGCTCCGGTCGTTCGTGAACTTCTCGTTGAAGATGGCGCCGTACTTCGACTGGCTCGCGGACCGCGTGATCTGGCTCAGCTCCCCGAGCGTCGGCCGCTCGTCGCTGAAGACCTTGAGCCGCTCCTGGGTCCCGTCGGGCTTGTCGAGCCAGACCTCCCAGGGGTTGGGCCACGCGCGATAGACGAAGCCCTTGGACACGGGCTTCAAGTAGTAGACCTCCTCGACGTCCGCGAGCGGCCCGCCGAGCTGGTACTTTTCCGAGAGCTGCGAGTTGAGGAAGACGACGGGCGCGCCGGCGGCCGCGCCGATGTCGTAGCCGCGCGTCCACGACGCCGTCACGCCCGGCGCGACGACGATGACGGCGTCGCCCGACTGGACGTCGACGTCCGGCGACTCGAGCGGCTTGACGACGAAGTTCTTCGGCAGCTTCGCGCAACCGGACGTGTCGACGCGGCCCTCGGCCAGCAGGACCCAGATCTTCCGCTTGGACCCGAAGGCCGGGGCGACGCGCCGCGCCCACTCGACGTTCGCGTAGGACACGGGGTCCCGCTTCACGAGCATGTAGTTCTTGTCGAAGCGGCGCACGTTCTTCCGCGCGGCCTCGTCGTCGACGTACGCGCTCGGCCCGTCGCTCAGGCCCAGATTCCGCGCGACCTCGATCTGGAAGCGCTCGTTCAAGGGCGTGCCGAACTTGGCCTCCTCCAAATTCGGCACGGGCTGCGTCCGCACCTCCATGAACTGCAGGCCGCTCCGGAGCCCGGCGCCGACGCCGGCCCGCATGGCGCCCGCCATGTCGTCGCCGAACCACGACTCGTAGATCTTGGGAAACGAGGGCGCGCCGAGCAACCCGTCGAGCGGCAGCGCGCGCGACGCGGCCATCGCCGCGGCGGCCGCCGCGGCCGCACCGGCCGCGAGGGCCGGGTCCGCGAGGAGCAGCGCGTCCGTGACGCCCATGGCGGCGCCGTCGACGCCCATGGCGTCGAGGCCCGCGACCAGCGCGTCCATGACGCCGTCGAGGGCGCCGTCCCAGGCGTCGGCCAGCCCGAGCTCGTCGTTGTTGCGGGTGATCAGTTTTTTTTGGCGGACGGCGGTGCGCGTCGGCGCGACCAGTGCGGTGGCAGTGGCTACGAGCGTGGCAATCGCTGAGAGGCGGCGCATTGCTACGACTCGTGCAGCCGGACGAGGATGGCTCTCCCTGGCTGCGGATCTGCTGCCGCAAGATCGGCGGCGGCCACGCGCGGGAGTTGAGGTCTGCACCGCCGCCCCGGTGCCCATCTCAATCAAAGCGGCTACGGTTCTGTGAAAGCCGGGAATAAATAATCGACGATGAGCTGCCCACGCAGCGGCAGCCCGGCTTGACGCGTCGACGATGATGGCGGTCCTGGTCCTCGCGTCGCTGGTCGCGACGGCCGCCGCCGTCGAGGTGACGTGCCTCACGACCCAGACGGAGATCGACTTCGTCTCCGCGACGCTCATGTACAACAACCTCGGCGGCATGGGCCCCAACTTCGACGAGCCGGCCATGCTGCGCTACGCCGGCGTGGGCACGAAGGACGGCGACCGCGTGGACCTCACGGTCACGGCGGTGACGGCCTACGTCCCCACGAACACCGCGAGCAACGGCCTCAACGGCGCGTTCGGCCAGATCAACATGAACGTGAACCAGGCCGCGACCTTCGAGTTCGCCTTCGTCAACGCCGACGCCGGCGACGCGGCCATGAGCGTCGACCCCTTCTACTTCTCCTTCTTCGACCTCGACGGGTCGAAGAAGGTCACGGAGTACTGGTGCTGGGACGACGAGCCGGGGCTGCTGGAGCTGTCCTACGAGGACTCGGCGGACATCTCCGCGTACGCCCAGGCGACGTCCTGCGCGGGCGGCGCAGGGTCGTCGACGGTCTTCGTCGGCGAGGAGATGGGCTTCGGCTGCGACAATCCCACGGATCCGACGAATCTGTACACGATCGACTGCGATACCGTCGAGAGCGACGGGGCCTGCTACTCCGAGTGCCAGAACAGCAACAAGGCGCGCTACTTCCCCATCGACCAGGCCCAGCGGTCCGTCACCGCGACCTACCTCGACGGGCGCGAGTCCTTCCGGTTCACGGCGTCCGCGTACCTCGACGCGAACCCGACGGCGCAGTTCACGAGCGGCCGGAACCTCGTTTTCGCGGGCACCAGCGTGCAACTCAAATCTTCAACACAACTTCAATGTGCGCGTATTCGAAAGTTTTAACACAAGCACTTCCGCTGTGCTTCGAGAACTCGATGAGAGCAATCGATCCGTCCCAAAATCAGCCGAATCGACTTCGATGTGACTGAGGAAGAGAATTTCAAAGTTTGGTCGGGACGTCCCGAACCAGTGGTTGAATTCGGCACAGGCGGGCACGTCGTCGATCATCGAGACGGAGTGCTGCACCATGGCCGTCGCCGACGGCGACCCGTCGACGAGCGGCGGCGCGTGCGGCGGCGATGCGGCGGCGCGCGGTCACGAAGCAGCGGCAGCCGCGGCCGCTCGACACGGGCATGGAGACCTGGGCGCTCGCCGACGCGGGCGACGACGACTGGAAGCCCGACGACGACTTCGAGATCGCGCGCATCGACTTCGACGAGGCCAAGGCCGGCGACGGCGACGACGACGCGGACCTCGACGGGATCCTCCTCTCGGAATCGGACCCGACGCTGGCCCTCGCGCCCGCGCGGAGCGAGAAGCTCTACCCGCCCATGATGGCGGCGTCCCTCACCCTCTCGGGCTCGCCCGACGACTACCACCCCGAGCACCCGTCCGACTACTCGGCCATGAACATCCTCGACGTCAACGAGGAGCCCGCGGAGGGCGACGGCGTTCCGTCGCCGACAACCACCCCCAAAATTCGGCGTTTCGTCGCCGACAACGACTCCCAAAATTCGCAGTCCAATTGACTAACTACCCCAAGGACGGAACGGTGGTCTTAGGGGGGACTTGTGTGGTGGGGTTTTGGACGCGGCTAGGCGACGCGGCGCTGGTGCAGGGGGGAAATCCTACTCGCGGGGGGCGACCTGGCTCAGGCTCATCGACAAGAGCGCCTCGAGCTCGTCATTGCTCATGGAATTGATCTCCTGGTGGTCCTGCGGCGTGAGGATCGCGAGCGGATCGCTCATCCACTTCCGCGCGCGCGCGCCCTCGACGGCTTCGAAGAGGGCCTTCCAGTGCGCGACGTGCTCGGCGACGCGGTCTTCGCTGTAGTCGTAGCGGTAAGCGGACTCGATCGCGTCCAGCGTCGGCAGCTCGCCGTCGAAGATCTTCGGGACCGTGAGCAGGCGCTCGTCCGAATCCTCCGGTTCCAGCCCGGCCATCACGCAGCCCATCATGCCCGCGAGCGCGTTGACCGGCAGCCCCGAGTCCTGATGCGGCAGCCCAATGGTGACCTTGACTTTCGGCTTTGACAGCACTGCCGAGGCGAGCTCGGTCGTGAACGGTTCGCCCTCCGGCAGCGAGGCGCGCCACGCGAGGACCGGGTGCTCCATGTTCGGCTCGCCATTGGCGAGGATGTACGGCACGTCCATCTTGGATTCTTCGTCCACACCCGCCGTTAGCGGAGGGGCCTCGAGCTGATCCGCCATCGTGACTTCGATCCGCCTTTCAGCTTTGTTGCAGGGCAACATTGGCAAAGTCGCCGCCCGCGACCTCGCAATGGAGCTTGACGGCGCCCATCTGAGAAGCGCATCCTAGACGCGCGAAAACCCATCGCTGCCATGCCCTCCGCCATCGAGCTGCGCGTCGGTTCCGTCGACGCCGCCGCGCGCGCCTTCGCGCTCGGCTACGACACGGTGTGCCTCGACGTGAGGACGACGGCGAGCCGCCTCGCCACGACGACGCCGGTCGCCCTCGACCGCGCGCAGTCCTTCGCCGCCCCCGCGGGCACGCGGCGCCTGCGGCTCCTGCACCGCGTCACCGTGGGCCTCGACGCGCCGCGATTGGAGATCCCGAAAGCCGCGGCCCAGCGCTTCGACGTCGTCGCCGTCGAGCCGCTCACGGACGCCGCGTTCCTCTTCGCCTGCAGGACCGCGGACTGCGACGTCATCGCCGTCGACGCGAGCCGCAAGGCGCCCTTCGCCCTGCCGCGCGCGGCCGTCGCGGCCGCGCGGGCGCGGGGCGTCGCGTTCGAGGTGTCGTACGCGGCCGCCGTCTCCCGCCCGCGGACGCTGCGGCACCTCGCGGCGACGGCCGCGCGCCTCGACGCGGCGGCGGGCGGCGCGCGCGGCGCCCTGGCGTTCTCCAGCGGCGCCGCGGCGGCCTGGCAGGTCCGCGCGCCGGCGGACGTCGCCGCGATCGCGGCCATGGTCGGCGTGCGGCACGGCGACGCCGCCACGGCCGCGGGCGCCGCGGCCCTCGACCGCGCGGCGGCGCGCGCGGCCGACCGCAACGCCGACGACCTCTGGGTCGACGCCGCGGAGCTCGACGTCCACCTCGCGGCGCTCGGGGAGCGGCCCGGGCCGCGGAAGCGGGCCAAGCGGCGTAAATCATCGTAAGCGCAGGGCGCACGCAGCTTCGGTATGGTTCCCGCAAGAAGTGCGCTTGGCCCACAAGTCGTGAACTTCAACATCGCGCGAGGCAGTTATATATCGACGCTCTAACTTTTTCGGCCAGGGCAGCACTTTGGCCGATGGCTGTTCCGTCCCCGTTTGCCACGGCGGTTGCGAAAAAACGAATGTGGAGCCTCCCGCTCCTCCTCGGGCTGGCGGGCGCGCAGCGGCGGCTCGCGGAGGACCACCAGTGCGCCTCCGTGGCCTTCGCGCCGCACACCATCGTCGACACGGCGGACAACGCGGCGTCCGTCTTCGCCGTCGACGTCGACGGCGACGGCGACCTGGACGTCCTGTCGGCGTCGTCGAGCGACGACACCGTGGCCTGGTACGACGACGACGGCGCCGTGTCCTTCACGACGCGGATCGTCTCGCGCCTCGTCAACTACGCGCGGTCGGTCTACGCGACGGACGTCGACGGCGACGGCGACGTCGACGTCGTCGCCGTCGCCTACTCCGACGACGCCGTCTTCCTCTTCGAGAACGACGGGGCCCAGTCCTTCCGCAACCACACGGTCGACGACGCCGCCGACGGCCCGCTCAACTGCTACGCGACGGACGTCGACGGCGACGGCGCCGTCGACGTGCTCGCGGCGTCGCGCAACGACGACACCGTCGCGTGGTACGCCAACGACGGCGCCCTCACCTTCGCCAAGGCCGTCATCAGCGCCACGCCGGACCAGGCCGCCGCCGTCTTCGCGATCGACGTCGACGGCGACGGCGACGTCGACGCGCTGTCGGCGTCGCGGAACGACAACACGGTCGCGTGGTACGAGAACGACGGGGCCCAGTCCTTCTCCAAGCGCATCATCACCTTCGCCGCGGGCTACGCCAACGCCGTCGTCGCGCTCGACGTCGACGGCGACGGCGACGTCGACGCGGTCTCGGCGCAGCGGTCCGTGTCCGTCGTCGCGTGGCACGAGAACGACGGGTCGCAGTCCTGGACGACCCTCAAAGTCGACGTCGAGGCGAGCGGCGCCTTCGCCGTCTACGCCATCGACCTCGACGGCGACGGCGACGTCGACGTCGTCGCCGCGTCCGCGCTCGACGACACCGTCGCGTGGCACGAGAACGACGGCGCGCAGTCCTTCACGAAGCGCGTCATCACGACGCTCACGGACGCCGGGTCCTACCAGTTCGCGGTCCACGCCGCGGACTTGGACGACGAGGGCGACGTCGACGTGCTGTCCGCGTCGGGCGACGACGACGCCGTGCGCTGGTTCGAGAACGACTGCCCGACGTTCGCGCCGACGGCGTCGCCCGCCCCCTCCACCCCGCCGACGCCCGAGCCCTCGGGCGCGCCCACGAGCGCGCCGACGCACGACGACTGCCCCGCGGGCACCTTCTCCGACGACCCGCGGGGGCCGGGCTGCGCGGCCTGCCCGTCGGGCCGCTTCCAGAACGCGACGGGGCGAACGTCCTGCGACGTCTGCGCGGTCAACACCTACGCCGCGGGCGGCGCGACGTTCTGCGCCGCGTGCGACCCGGGCAAGCAGAGCGGCCTCGGATCGGCGGAGTGCTCCTGGTGCTCCACGGGGCAGTACCAGACGCTCGGCGACGACGACGAGAAGGTCTGCGTCGACTGCGCGAACGGCACCTACTCGCCCGTGGGGCTCACGTGCCTCGACTGCGGGCCGGGCCTCTACTCCGACGACCGGGTCAACTGCGTCTACTGCGCCACGGGCACCTACTCCGACGGGTCCCGGAATTCGGGCTGCGAGACGTGCCCCGCGGGCGCGTTCGCCGTCTCCGGGTCGACGGAATGCCTCGACTGCCCCGCGGGGCGCTACCAGGACGCGCCCGGCTCGGAGTGGTGCACGTCCGCGCCCCCCGGGTCCTACGCGCCCGAGGACGGCGCCTCGGAGGCCACGCCCTGCCCGCCGGGGTCCTTCTCCGGCTCGGGCGCGACGGCGTGCGAGCCGTGCGGCGCGTCCGAGTACGCGAACCACTCGGGCATGACGGCCTGCTACCTCTGCCCCGCGCCCCTCACGGCGTCCGGGTCCGGCGGCGCGACCTACTGCGACGCCTGCGAGGCGGGCTTCTACTGGGACACGCCCTACTGGGACACGACGGGCGCCGCGGCGCTCCGCGCGTCGTACGACCCCGACGACCCCGACGCGTTCGCGGGCGCCCAGTGCAGCGACTGCTGCGTCGAGTGCCCCGACGACGGCGCCAGGTGCTACGCCGCCGGCGTCACGTTGGAAACGTTGCCGCTGAAGCGGGACTACTGGCGCGCGTCGCTCTACACCGACGAGCTCTACGAGTGCGCGGTGACCGACGCGTGCAAAGGCGGGTCGGGCAACGACACGGACCGCGGCGAGAGCAGCGAGCGCTACTGCCGGCGGGGCCACGAGGACGTGCTCTGCGCCGTCTGCGCCGAGGACTACATGTTCGACACGGTCAAGGGCCGCTGCGTCGAGTGCGCTTCCCCGGCCTGGGACATCTCCGTGTCCCCGGGCCGCCTCGTGTCGCTGTGCCTCTTTTTGTTCCTCTTCATGGCCGTGGTCACGTGGTACGTGCGGAAGCGGGGCTGCTCCGCGCGGTCCCTGATGGAGCTGCGGCAGGTGTCGAAGACGACGAGCCGCCACAAGCAGCAGGCGTTCGAGGACGACGACGACGGCACGGGCGCGTTCATCACCAAGTACCTCACGAAGATCAAGATCCTGATCGGCCTCTACCAGATCATCGGCTCGACGCAGTGGACGCTGCCCCAGGTCCCCTTCCCGGACATTTTGGACGCGCCGTTCAACGTCTCGCGCTTCTTCGTGCTCGACGTCATGTCCGCGCCTGTGTGGATTCCAAATCTTCAACCCGACTTCAATGTGCGCGCATTCGTATTCTTCGACACAAGCTCTTCTTCTATGCTTCGAGAACTCGACGAGAGCAATCGATTCGTCCAAAAATCAGTCGAATCGACGTCGGTTTGACCGAGCTAGAGAGCTCTGAAGTTTGGTGGGGACCCCCCAAACCAGTGATTGATTGCCACACAGGTCCGCGCTCCCGCTGGACTGCTTCCGCCGCGTCAACTTCTTCGAGAGTCTGGTCTTCACGACGCTGGCCCCCTTCGCGCTCTCCGCGCTCGCCATGGCCTGGTTCTTCAAGCGCGAGTACTTCGGGGACGACGCGGACGTCCGCCACGCCGCGACGTCGTCGAAGAACTACTGCCTGCTCTTCATCTCCTTCTGCGTGTTGCCGGCCTGCGCGTCCAAGGTCTTCCAGTACTTTGGCTGCATGTCCTACGACCTCGGCGACTGGGCGCCCCGGGGCGACGGCTGGGCGCGGCAGCGCGACGATCTGCGGATTTTGGTAGCGGACCCGACGGTCGACTGCGACGGCGCGCGCTACGGCCACTGGCTCGTCTACGTGCTGCTCATGGTCGCCATCTACCCGCTGGGCACGCCCCTCTTCTACTTTTTCATCCTCTGGTCCAAGCGGAAGGACCTCAATCCGAAGTTCGAGGACCTCAACGCGACCGAAAAACAGCACAGCGGCCTCCGCGGGTCCATGAAGGCCCGCGAGGCGCACCCCTTCAACGACTTCTACGACGACGACCACGAGGTGCGGGCGACGCCGCCGCCGAGCGACGACGACGATGGTGAGGAGCCCGCGGAGCCCGCGCCGGACGAGCCCGCGGAGCCCGCGGCCGACGAGCCCGCGGAGCTCGCGGCGGACGACCTCTCGGCCGGTTCCGACGAGCCCGAGGCGCGGCTCCACCCGGAGGGCGAGCTGAGCCTCTTCCTCGACGCCGTCGTCCAGCGCCCGCCGCCGCCGCCGGAGGCCGGCGGGTCGGCCGCCGACCCTCCGGCCTCTCCGTCGGCGCTCCGCGCCGCGGGCGCCCTCGCCCGCGCGGACGTCGTGCTCCGGTCGCACGGCGCGGGCGCGCCCGCGAGCTGCGACTCGTCCGTCGAGGGCGTGGACGCGCCGCCGCGGCGCGACGACGGGCGCCCCGTCGCGGCCATCGACGTCCGCGCCGCGCTCGCCGCGCTGGGCCACGCGGCGTCGCCGCGCGCCGCCGCGGAGTCGCGGTCCCTCGCGCGCGCGCGCGCGGCCGCCGGCGAGCCCGGCGGCGGCGCCGCGGGTTTTCAGCTCTGCGGCGCGGACGTCGACTTCGACGACGGCGGCGCGCCCGTCGACTGCGGGCTCGCCGGGCGCGGCGGCGCGCCGCCGTCGCCCGACGCGGGCGGCGCGCCGGCCGCCGCGGACGCGCCGCGGCGCGGGTCCGCGCGCCGCGGGTCGCTCGAGCAGCAGCAGCGCGCGTCGCTCATCGGCCACGCCGAGGAGCAGTTCCTCCAGGCCCAGATCCAGGCGGCCATGCTCGAGCACCGCGAGAAGTCGTCCAAGGCCATCGCGTCCGTGTCGTTCCTCGTCGAGGAGTACGAGCCGCGGTGCTACCTCTTCTCGGTCTTCGAGACCGTGCGGCGCATCGTGCTCACGGGCGGGCTGACCATCTTCTCCGACGGGGGGGCGCTGCAGATCGCCATGGGGCTGCTGGTGACGATGATCTCGCACCGGGTCTACTCCATCTACGAGCCCTACATCGAGGACGACGACGACACGCTGTCCGAGGTCGCGCAGACGCAGCTCGTGCTCGTCTTCTTCGGGAGCCTGCTCCTCTACGTCGGCGAGCACACGGAGGACGAGGCGTCCTACGCCACGGACCTCTTCGGCGTCATCCTCATGATGATCATGTGCTCGGGCCTCCTCGTGGCCTGCTACTACATCGCCGTGGACGCGTTCGGCCAGGAGGTCATCGAGCGGCGCAGCCGGCGCTACCAGGCGCGCATGGCGACCATGGCGCGCGACCTCTCCCACCTCCGCATCCGCGCCATGTCGCGGTGATCCCCCTGCCCCACCTCCGCTTTCTAAGCTGCGCTTCTACGAAGTCTTCTACGACCTCACGTGACGACCTCGTACTTTCCTCTCCGAGAGAGTCTGGAAATCGACGTTTGCACTTGCAGGAAAGCGAGGTTGACGCCGCGCGCCGCGGCCGTGGCATATGAAATGCCCTGCTTCCGCTTGCTGAAGTAGGCACGTCGACACGACTGGCCGAGCTGCGATTGCGACGCACCCTTCCGCAATCATGGCGAGCGGCCCGCTCGACGTCGCCTGCAGCATGTTCGACACGTTCTGCGAGGACTCGGACGAAGTGGCCCTGCTCTACGACCTCGACCTGCGCTACGTCGCCATCAACCGCGCGGGCCTCGCGGCCCTGGGCCTGGAGCGGAGCGCCGTGCTCGGCAAGACGAACCGCGAGCTGCTCGGCGACGAGGGCGAAGCGATGGAGGAGAAGCTGCGGTCCGTCGCGGCGCGCGGCGCCGCGCAGACCTGGGCGCACGTCGTAAACGGCGAGGCCTACGAGACGACCTACGCGCCCGTCGTCGGCGCCGGAGGCGTCGTCGGCGTCGCCGGGCGCTGCCACCGCACGGCCGAGGCCGCGGCCGAGGCCCGGGCGCGGGCCGAGAGCCTCGCGCGCGAGCACGCGCGCGCGACGAATCTGATCTCCATGCTCGAGTCGAACCCGCGCGTGCTCACCTGGGTCCTGGACCCCCGCGGCGAGCTCGTCGAGTACGTGAGCGCGCCGGCCTGCAAAGCCATCCTCGGCGTCGACGCCGCGACGCTCCTGGGCACCGCGCAGGCGGCGCTGCTCCACCCGGACGACGCCGAGGTCGTCCGCGACGCGCTCCGGCGCGCCGAGGCGCCGCGGCGGCGGCTGACCTACCGGCGGCGCGTCCCCGACGGGTCCTACGCGACCGTGGCCCTGGCGCCGGGCGCCTGGCACCGCGACGGGTCCGGGCGGCTCTACGTGCAGGAGAGCTCCGTGTCGCAGCTGTTGAACGAGGAGAGCATCGCGTTCAAGCAGATGTACATCACGCGCACGGCCCACGACCTCAAGACGCCCATCACGTCCTTCCGCCTCGCGCTGGACCAGCTCGACCGCCTCCTCGACAAGTCGACGTCGACGGACGAGTCCGCGCCCGCGTGGAAATCGACCGGCGAGCCGGGACGTCCCGACCAAACTTTGCAAGTCTCTCGCTCGGTCACATCGACGTCGATTCGGCTGATTTTTGGACGCGTCGATCGCTCTCGTCGAGTTCTCGAAGCACGGCGAAAGAGTCTGGTCCAAACCGTTCGATGACGCGCAGAATTGAAGTCGTGTCGAAGAGTTGGAATCCGCGCAGGCTCGCGCTCGTCGAGCAGGCGCGGCACGCGACGGAGTTCATGCAGATCATCGTGCGCCAGGCCATCGACGTCGGCAAGCTCCAGGCGGGCCAGTCCATCTCGCCGACGCGGGGCACCGTGGACCTCGACGGGCTTTTGACGAAGTGCGACTGGCTTTTGGCCGGCTACCCGAAGGCGTGCTCCGTGTCGCTCGGCCGCGACGAGGCGAGGGTGAGCCGCTACGTCGTCAGCGACGGCGAGTGGCTCTGGGAGATCCTCATGAACTTCCTCACGAACGCGTGCAAGTACACGGCCTCCGGCGGCATCGACCTCAGGATCACGACGGTGACGCGGCGCACCTCGTCGCCCGATTTGAGAAATTCGGATGCGGCGGGCGCCGCGGAGAAGACCATGCTCCGCGTCGAGTGCGCCGACTCGGGCATCGGCGTGCCGCCGGCGAAGCGCCACGGCCTCTTCCGGCCCTTCGGGACGCTCCAAGCGAAGACGCTCCACGGCACGGGCATCGGCCTCTTCAACGTGCAGCAGAAGTGCCTGGCGCTCATGGGCAAGGTCGGCATGAGCGACCGCAACGACGGCGAAAAGGGGTCCCTCTTCTGGGCCGAGGTGCCCTACGAGCCCGACGACGGCCCGACGCCCGACGACGCCGCGTCGCTCCAGTCGCCCGACGCGCCGACCATCAACCACAGCCCGGCGCTCGACCGGCCCTACGGCGCGCCGCGGGTCTTCAAAGACCGCACGGCGCTCCTCGTCGACGACACGGGCACGATCCTCTCGCTCATGGTCCACATCTTCCAGCGGAAGCGGTTCACGGCTGTGTGGAATTCAACCACTGGTTTGGGTGGTCCTGACCAAACTTCAGAATTCTCTAGCTCGATCACATCGAAGTCGATTCGGCTGATTTTTGGACGAATCGATTGCTCTCGTCGATTTCTCGAAGCACAGCCGAAGAGCTTGCGTCGAACCTGTCGCATACGCGCACATTGAAGTCGGGTTGAAGATTTGAATTCCACACAGGTTCACGGTGATGACGGCGTCGAACGGCGCGGACGCGCTCGAGAAGCTCACGCGCAACGCCTTCGACATCTGCCTCATGGACGTGCAGATGCCGACCATGGACGGCCTCGAGTGCACGCGGCGGCTCCGGGCCTGGGAGGCCGGCAAAGCGACCAGTGTGGATTCCAACCGCTGGTTTGGGGGGTCCCCACCAAACTTCAGAACTCTCTAGCTCGGTCACATCGAAGTCGATTCGGCTGATTTTTGGACGAATCGATTGCTCTCGTCGAGTTCTCGAAGCACAGCGAAAGGGTCTGGTCCAAATAGTTCGATGACGCGCACATTGAAGTCGGGTTGGATATTTGGAATCCACACAGGCGGCGACCGGCCGCGGCAGCTCGTCGTCGGCCTCTCCGCGAACGCGGAGCCCCAGGACCGCTTCGCCGCCGAGGAGGCGGGCATGGACGACTTCCTCGGCAAGCCCATCCGCCTCGTGACGTTGGAAGAGCTGCTCCTGCGCCACCTCGACCCCGCGCCGCGCGACGAGGACGACGCGGACTCGCCCGGGCGCAAGCGGCCGCGCCTCGCGGACGACGCGCTCAAGCCGTCGCTGCCGGAGGCGTAAACATCGGAGGGGAAGACGGGGTCGTCTGTGCTGGAGTTCGAGGTCGACGTCGGTGGAGGCCTCCGCGGAGGCCGAGGCGTAGGCCGTCGCGATCCGGAAGGGCGTGCTCTCGAGGCATTCGAGTTCGACGGCCTCTCCCCATCCTCTCCGATTTGGCAGACGCGCGCGCTCGTGCGAGGCCGGCGGGTTGCGCCGACGCCCGCGCCGACGCCCGCGCCGACGCCGGTTCCGGGCGACCCGTCCGCCGCGCCCGTCTTCGCGCCGACGCTCCGGCCGCCTGCGCCGCCGACGACGAACCCCCGTGTGTGCGACCCGTCGACCCGAGGCCGACCACCGCCGCCGGACCCAAAAAACATGATCGGCCGCCTCGCCCGGGGGGGGGACTACGCCCCGCCGCTCGACGACGACGCCCCGTCGCCCTGGCGGCGGCTCGGCGTCGCCGCGGGCCTCGCGGTCCTGGCGACGGCCGCGGTCGCGCGCGTCGCCGCCGCGAACCCGCGCGCCGCGTTCGTGACGACGCGGACGACGGAGTCCATCCACGTCTTCTACGAGTCCAAAATCGTCGAGGGCCCCACCACACTCCTGGCGCTCATCGCGCCGTTTTTGCCCGAGGGCGCGTCGTTCAAAGGCGTACCCTACGACTCGCTCGACGGCCTCGTCGCCGCGGCGCCCTACGCGCCCGGGGACGTGGTCATTTTTTCCATCCGCAGCGGCGTGCAGACGCGCGACGTGCCCGGCAGCGAGACTCGCGTCGACGGCGCCTGCGCGTACACGTTCGCGGCCGGCGACGCGCTGTTGCTGGCGCCCGCGGTCATGACGTTGCTCGAGCAGCCGACGCCGCTGACGCTCATCGACGAGGGCGACTGGGGCTGCAAGATGGCCCTGCCGGAGACGATGCACAACGTCATGCGGTCGTCCTACGGAACGAACGGCGTCATGGACCACGCGGCGCTGTTCCCCTTCGGAGCGGAGTACGACCCCTTCGACGAATTTTTGGCCGCCACAAAAAGCCAGACGCCGGTCCTCGAGCGGCCCTTCGCCTTCGGCATCCAGGAGCACATCACGTACCGCAAGCCGTCGCGCGTCGAACTCTACCGCGTCTTCGAGGAGCGGCACGTCGAGGTCAGCGACGCCGTGCGGGGCATGCCCTACGTCTTCGAGCTCTTCAACCGCCACTGGCTCCGGAACGAGACCGAGGCGACGGCGCCGGCCCGCGGCGGCTACGAGGTCGACTATCTGGGCATGCTCGCGAGTAGCGTTTTTGCCCTCTGCCCGGCGGGCGACGCGTACGTGTCGGGCTGCGTGACCGAAGCGCTGGAGATGGGCGCGATCCCCGTCATGGAGAACCCCGCGGACTTCAAGGGCTGCGCGCATCCGGCCCAGTTCTACGAGGACTTGCAGTTGAACGTCACGGTGAGGAACTGGCACGAGCTGCCGGCGCTCCTGGCGTTCCACTTCGACCGCGACGACGCCGGCGCGCACCTCGCGGCGCTCCACGGCGCGATCATGGACTGGAACGACGCCTGGAAGCGCCGCGTCGCCGGGTCCATCTACGACTTCCGCACGCGGGCGACGACGGGGCAAATCCCGACGAACGACTGCGCGCGCGTCGGCCTCACGGCGGAACAAGAGGCCGCGCAGGACGCGGCGTTCGAAGCGTACTACGCCCAGGAGCACTGGTTCGACAACTACCACGACGGCGTCTGGGAGGTCGGCGCCTGGTGCTCCAAGTTCCTCCAGTACTCGGAGCACACGGAGCTCTCGGAGGGCGGCTGCTTCGCCGACGCGTGCGCGCCGGCGGCGGCCGCGGCGTTCGTCTGCGGCGGCGACGCGCCGGATTTATTGGCGATCCCCGGGGCGAGCGTCGCCGCGGCCGTCGTCTCCGGCTGGGACTGGGCGAACTACGCCACGGTCGCCGTGCTCGCCGCCGTCGCGCTCGGCGCGGTCGTCCTCGTCGCGGTCCGGAGGCGCACGGCGGCGCGCCTCGCCGCCTACGCGCGCCTCGCCTACGACGGCCTGTCCCCGAGGGCCGGCGAGGCGCACCAGGTCTTCGCCTCGCTGAAGACCTTTGGGTTCGAGGCCGGGTTGATGTCGGCGACGATCGGGAACCTGATCGGCCTCACGTTCATGAACGCGTACGTCATGAGGCGCGCGCCCCTCGCGGCGTCGCTCACGGCCGTGCAGATGGCCTGCACCTCCGTCTTCGCGACGCTCTCCAACGCCTACCGCGGGCGCCCCTTCTTCGGCGGCATTTCCTTCGGCTTCTGGGTCTGCCGCGTCGTTCCGCTCGCCGCCTTGTTCGCGGTCTACCTCTTCACGTCGAACCTCGTCTACTCCTACCTCGGCGTGGGCTTCATCCAGATGCTCAAGCCGGCGAACGGCATCATGCTCTTCGCGCTGACCCTGAGCATCGGCCTCGAGGGGCGGCCGGACGCGACGAAGGTCCTCAACGTCTTCGTGATCTCGGGCGCGGTCGTCGGCACGGCCTTGGCCAAGGAGGGCAGCGACCCCGGCGCCGTCAACGGCTTCGGCATCACGGTCATGGCCATCTCGACGGTCGCGGCGACGCTCTACCAGACGGGCATCCAGCTGCTGATGCAGCACCGGGACCACGGCCTCGATGCCGTGTCGTTGCTGGCGGTCATGGCGCCGACGACGACGGTCATCCTCGCCGTCTACGCGGCGCTGACGGAGTGGACCCGCGGCGACTTCCTGGCGCTCGTGCTCGACGTGCCGCCGGGGTACATCGCGCTGGACCTGGTCCTGAGCGTCGCGCTCGACGTGAACAAGAATTTGGTGATTGGATTGCTCTCCGCGGTGTCCTACTGCCTCGTGGGCTACTCGAAGGACATCCTCATCGTCGCCTTCACGGCGGCCGCGGGCTCGGAGCACGTCTCCGACGCGCAGTGGGTCGCCTACGCGCTGCTCGTGCTGGGGCAGACGGCGTGGACGGCGGAGAAGCTCGCCGCGCGGCTCGACGCGGACGCCGTCGAGACGGCGATCGCAGGCAAGCTCGCGCGCGAGGGCGCGTACGCGTCGCGCGACCCGTCCGCCCACCCGTCCCTGCGGACCCACGGCGGACCGCCGGCGAAGCCCGAGGGCAACCCGCTCCTCGGGCGCGACGGTAAGTTCTAGCGGTGGTGGGAGCCCGGCACGTCTCGGGGGCGACCACTGATGGCGCGAAAGCGGCCATGTTCAGCACCCTTCTAGGGCGTCGACGAGTTTAGTAGAACCCCCCTCGAGGCGCGTAGAAGCCCGCGACGATCGTCGCCACGTCGACGGGGAGCGCGGTCTCGAAGCATTTGGTGAGAACGGAGACGTGGATGCCCAGCTGGCGGCGCGCGTATTCGTCGAAACCTCCGGCCTTCTTGACGGCGTCCACGAGCGCCCAGGCGGACGCGTTGCCGGGTGAGCGATGGACTTGAACAGTATGTGAATTTCTTCCATACAGTTTAATAGACGTGTTGATGACGGCCCCGGCACGAAGAAATTCTAGAAGCATCCATCGATGTCCTTTGGTGAGAGCCCAGGTGAATGGAGACTGGTCATATGCGTTAATCCGCGAGTGAACGTCGGCACCCGCCGCGACGAGAGCTAGGATGATCGCGCGTTTGTTCGCCATTGGGCTGTGACTCCTCTCAAACTGAAATACAGCAACTAACAACGGTGTGCGACTGTCAGTGCTCGTGGCGTCTACATGCGCTCCCGCCGATAGGAGAATGGTGACCGCCTCACGGTGAGCGTATAGAGCAGCGTTTTGTAGCGACGTTCTCCCATAATTGGGTCGAATAAAATTCGGGTTGGCACCTGCGGCCAGCGCACGTCGAAGGTCCCGAACGTCCCCTCGAATAGCGGCGTTGAACAAAATCATATCGGCGCTCATATTTGCATGTGCGCGCCCTTGGCTGTGGCAACATTTGGCGCAATCGCTGATCTTCCCGCACACTCCGACTCCTCCCGAGCTGCTCGCGTCGACCGCCAAACGCAACTCCGGAGGGGCCTCACTACTACGCAACCCCGCTCCTCGGCGCGACCAAAAACCGAGCCAACGCCCCGCTTACGCCTCCCGGGGCCGCGAGAGCGCGGACATGTCCGGCAGGCTCGACGTGAGCATGTCCGGGCGGCGCTCCGCCGCGGCGCCGTCGTTCTCGTCGTTGGGCGGCGGCTCCGTGACGACGCCCGAGATGAGGCGCGGCACGGGCTTGCAGCCAATGACGCCCTTGATGGTCGGGCCCGGCACGGGCTCCGCGAGGCGGTACGCGTGCGCGACGTACCAGCCGTACATCTCGTCGGGCTTGTCGTCGGGCCCGAGCTCCGACTTGTCGCGGGGCTTCCAGTCGAAGGGCGACGTCGCGGGGATGCGGTGCAGGTGCTCGTGGCCTCGCCAGTCGCCGACGCCGGCGTACTTGACCGCGCGCGCCGCGAAGCGGACGAGGCCCGTGATGCGGTGCTTGCGCATGTGCTCGGGCACGCGCTTGCCGACGTCCTTGCCCGGCGTCTCGATGAGCCAGAGCCACTCGTCGGCGTAGGACCGCACGTCGTAGCGCCGCGCCTCGATCTTCTTCACGCCGTCGAGGATGAGCCCCGCCCAGGGCCGCTGGATGTTGATGCCCCGGAGGGGCTTCATGAGCTGGTGGCCCGCGCGCCACTTGGCGGCGAAGTCCGGCGGCGCGACGTCGCAGGCGTAGGCGGCGACGACGTCCGCGGGCTGCCGCGCGACGACGTGGTCGACGACGTACTTGCCGAGCGCCTTCAGCTCGCCCGAGTGGTGGTTCGTGAGCTTCTGCAGCTTGGCGCTCTTCTCCTCCTTCGCCGGCCGGTCGCCCCGGGGCTTCTTGCGCTCGGCGACGTCGCCGGCGTCGTCGAAGGCCGGGCGCCAGGGCGGCAGCGCGGCGACGAAGCGGCGGACCTTGGCGAGCGCGCGGTCCTTGTAGGTCCCCGTCCGCGGCGGTTCCGGCGCGCGCGGCGCGGCCGCGAACTCGGGGTCGGCCTTCCAGTCGTCCTCGTCGCGCTCGAAGGACACGGGCTCGTCCCACCAGCCCGCGTCGCGGTCGCGGCCGTAGACGAAGGGCTCGCCGCTCTCCGGGTGGCGCGACAAAACGCACCGGTAATAGCCGCCCGCCGCGGACCCGGCCGCGTCCTCGGCCCAGCGGATGAGCAGCCGGTCGCCGTCCTTCGGCGCGACGCGGCGCTTCTCCTTGCGCCGCTTCTTCGGCGGGAGGGGCTCCGCCTCCTCGGCCGCGGCGGCGCCGTTCGCCGCGCGCTTGCTCTTGGCCTCGCGGCGCCTCGCGCCCGCGTCGACCTTGGCCTCGGACTTGACGCGCGCCGCGGCGGCGCGGGCCTTCTTGCCCGTGAGCTTGCGCAGCGTGAGCGCGCCGTTTTCCCGGGCCTCGCCCGCGACGACGTACGCGCAGAACCGGTTCTTGCCCCGGCCGTCGACGGTTCCGTCGGGCCTCAGGTGGAGCTGCAGCTGGTCGCTCACGGCGGGCTGGTCCTCCGTGGAGAAGGACCCGCGCAGGTGCACGACGCGCACGCCGCGCTCGTCGCCGTCCTGCACGTTCTTGTACCGGAGCGTGCCCGCCTCGGCGCCGCCGTCGGTGAAGGCCCAGGTGCCCGTGAGCTCGTCGGCGCTGAGCTTGGCGCGCATGACGCAGATCAGGTCCTCGTCGTCGAAGACCTCCTCGGCGGCCGTGCCCATGCTGCTCGTGCTCAGGCGCGGCGACCGCCGCCCGGGGCGCCCGTCGGTTGAGCACGAAGTTTGATTGCTCGACAGCGTCTCCATCGACGTCCGTTCGAGGCTGAACTTTGATTGTGGCAACGCCGCCAACGGTCGCTAAAGCGACAACCTAAAAGCTGGCGTCCAAGCCGCTGGGGTCTTAGAAAGAGCGAAGCCAGTTACGCGACCCACGAGCGCCTAGGCGAACATCTTCGAGGCCATCTTCTTGGCCTTGGCCTTCTGGCGCGCGAGCTGCGCGTCGACGCGCTTCGCGAGCGCGAGCGCGGCCTTGTCCTCCGGGTTCTGCTTGAGCACGGCGTTGAGGTCCTTCTTCGCCTCGTCGAACTTGGACGTCTTCTCGAAGGCCGCCGCGCGGCGGTAGAGGGCCTTGGGGTGCGCCGGCTCCAGCTTGAGCGCCTCCTCCGCGGATTTCAGCGCCTGGTCGACGTTGTCGAGCTTCGTCCAGCAGAGGGCCATGTTCACGTGGAGGTCGACCTTGATCTTCGTCGTCTGCGCCGTCTGCTCGGGGTTGAGGTCGCGGAACTTCGCCGCGTGGCCGAGCGCGTCCTTGTAGCGCTTCGCCGCGTGCGTGATGTTGCCGTCCTTGAAGAGCTCCGTGCCCTCCTTCTTGTTCTTCTCCACGAGGCGGAAGCGGTCGCCGAACTTGAGCTTGCGCGTGTCCGCGTGCAGGCGGTCCTCGCGCGCCTCGTCGTCGTCGTCGTCGTTCGCGGCGGCCGCGGCGGCCTCGGCCTCGAGCTGCTTCTCCATGTCGAGCCGCTCCTTTTCGATCGTCTCGAAGTAGGCCGGCACCATGTCCTGGGCCTTGGCGGACATCTCGTCCAATTTCGCCTGCATGACCTCGGCCGTGGCGGCGTAGGCCTCGTCGCTCCAGAGCCACTCCTCCGCGTCGTCGAGGAGCGCGCCGAAGTCGGACGACTTCTCCTCGAAGAGCTTGTAGTGCTTGCCGTTCTTCGCGGACCGGAGCTCGAGGATCTTCGTCTCGAGCGCGTTGCGCTTGTCGGCGACGGCCTTGACGCCGTCGTCGCGCGCGACCATGGCGTCCTCCGCGGTCCGCAGGGCCGCCAGCGCGGCGGCGTCGTCGGCCTCGGGCGCGACGAAGGGCGTCAAGGCCGCCTTCGTCGCGGCCCGCGCCTCCTCGACGGCCGACAGCGCGGCGCACTCGGCGACGGCGGCCTGCAGCGCCTTCTCGCCCAACGCGTTGACGCGCACCTGCACGACGGAGTCCTCGGCCTTCGGGGGCGGCGTCGCCTCCTGCTTCTCCTCGCCCTCCGGCGGCGGCGGCGGCGCCTCGGGCGCGGCCTTGCGCTCCTCCTCGAGCTTCGCCTTCGCGTCGGCGAGGTCCGCGTCGACCTGCGACTTGCGCGTCTTCGCCGCGACGAGGTCCTTGCGCGCCTTGTCCAGAGCCTCGTCCGCGTCCGCGCGCTTCTTGACGCACAGCGCCGCGCCGTGCGCGAGCGTCGCGTCGTCTAATTTGGCCCCGAAGACCTCGACCCCGAAGACCTCCTTGGCGACCTCCTGGGCGACGGCGACGCGGGACCCGCCGCCCACGAGCTCGACGGCGTCGACCTTGTCGACGGCGGCGTTCGCGAGCGCCTTCTCGAGCAGGCCCTTGAACGATTCAAGGACGGACGCGCAGGTCTCGCGGAGCTCGTCGCGCGAGAACTCGAGGGGCACGTCGCGCTCGTCGCCCATGTTCTCCGCGGTCGTCTTCGCCGTCTCCATCGTGCTCAACAACTTGCGGAGCCGCTCCGCGGCGCCGAGCAGCCGGCCGCCGCGTTTCGATCCCGGCGCAGGTTTCTCGACGTCGCCGGGCAGCTTGGCCGATAACGCGTCGAAGACGAGGGCGTCCATGGCCGCCGTGCCGCAGGTTTTGTCCTGGGCCGCCGCGCCGCCGAGGATGGCCGCGGCGACGGCGCCCGCCTCGCTCTTCGCGAATTTGTAGACGGAGCAGTGCGCGCCGAGGCGCCCGACGTCGACGACGGCGACGACCTTGGCCTCGCCGGCCTCGAGCAGGGACGCGTGCTTGACCTCGTAGACGGCCGCGAGGCAGGCGTCGGCCCGGACGAGGTCCACGCCCGCGAACGACGGCGGCAAGCCGGCCGTCGCGCCGTTGCGGAGCGCGGCGCGTTGTTCCGCGTCCCAGCACGTGGGCACGGCGAAGGCGCCGCGCAGGTCCGCGGCGCCCTCGCGGCACGACGGCCCCAGCGACGCCGCGGCCAGCGACCCGCAGCGCCGCAGCAGCGCGCAGCACAGCGCGTCGTCTCCGAAAGACGTCGTCTCCTCGCCCGCGTAGCCGCTGACCGTGAACGCCGCCTCGCCGGCGCCGGGCCGGTGCGCGTCCAGGGCGCCGTTGCCGCTGAGGCGCTCGCCGATGCGCGCCGTGTTCTTCGCGTTCGTCGACAGCTGGGCCACGGCGGCCTCGCCGACGTAGCGCTCCATGCCGCTGAAGCCCACGAGCGAACTCGAGCTGTGGCCGCCGAGCTCGTTGCGCACGATGACGCCGCTGTCGTCGACGACCATCGTCGACTCGCCGCCGACATCGAAGCCCACGACCTTGCCCATGGTGGCTGGCGCTTCGTCGACGAAGTCGAAGCCGGCGAGTTGGCGGTCGATTTTGGACACGGGTGACGGGGTCAAGTTGCAGCACCATCGACAAGGAGCACCCCCCGCGGGCTGCCAATAATATCAGCCACGGTGTCGGAACGCGCGCCGCAGCATGGCAAGTTGCAGCACCATCGACAAGGAGCACCCCCCGCGGGCTGCCAATAATATCAGCCACGGTGTCGGAACGCGCGCCGCAGCATGGAAACGGCGGCTGCCAATAGTTCCTAATCAGCCGAGCGTGCCGCCGTGCCGTCGGAGCGTGCCGGCCGTGCCGTCGGAACGCGCCGCGGCATGGAGACGGCGGATCGCGGCATCCGCACGGTGGAGATCAACCGCATCGTCACGGAGGACCCGCGGCCGAAAGCGCTCGCCAGCGTGACGAATGCTCTCCACAGCGAAAGTACGTTGTCCGCGAGCGCGGCGAACGCCGTGGCACCGGCGCTGCCCCAGGACGACCTGGCGCCGGCCGCCGCGCGGCTCTTCCTCCGGCTGAAGCGATGCATCTTCCGCGGCGTCGCCGCCGCGTTCCTGGCCGTCGTCGCCGTCGTCGTCTTCGCGCGGGACCCGCGCGTCGGCGCACCGACGGACGCGCCGGAGTCGCCGCGGAACGAGCCGCCCGCGCCGGCGCGCGCGCCGCCGCCGCCGGCCGCGCCGCCGCCGCCGCGGCGGCGCCGCGGCGCCGCGGCGGCCTGGAACTTCTCGCCCGCCGTCGGCGCCGGCGCGCGGCTCGTCGCCGCCGAGGTCGAGGACCTCGTCGCCGACGCGCGCGCGGCGTACGAGGGCCTCGCGCGGACCGCGGCGGGCGTCCACGAGCGGAGTTACTGGAACGAGCACACCTTCGCGGCGTTCCACCGCGCCTACGACGGCGACCTGGCGACGATCCGCTCCATGGTCTGGGCGTGCCTGCGCGTGCGCGAATTCGCCGGCGCGGACGCGGCGCGCGCGGCGCTCCTCGACCGCGCGGCGGCCGAATTCGGCGGAGACCTCGACGACGCGCTCTGGCGCGACGCGCGCGCGGACGCGGTCATGCCCATCGCGTCGTCGCGGCCGCCGGCGACGAAGACGGACCGCGTCACCGTGTTCTGGGTCATCGCCTACGGCGGCGGCGCGCTCGCGCGCGGCGAGGACCTCCCGCTGGGGCCGGACGAGTTCGCGGCGCACCAGGTCCGGCTCTTCGAGTTCCGGGCGCTGGCGCTGGAGCGCTACGCGCTCGCGACGGGCGACCTGGGGTCCTTCGCGGCGGTCCACGACCTGCGCGTCGACGGCGGGCTGCTGCGGCTCTGGCGGAAGGCCGGAGGCGCGTACCGCGAGTTCACGGCCGCGGCGACGCCCTACCTCAAGGACCTCCACCCGCCGATGACGCGCCGGGTCTACGTCGCCAACGCGCCGAGCGGCTTCGGGCTGATCTGGTCCGTCATCAAGATGGGCATCTCGAAGCGCCAGGTCGAGAAGGTGGTGGTGTTGTCCGGCGACTTCCAGCCGAGCGACGTCGCCGAGCTCGACGTCCGCGAGGTCGCGCGGCTCCTCGTGTAAAACGGTTACGGCCGCTGCGCGTCGACGTCGCCGCCCCGGAGCCCCGGCCGGTCGATCTTGAAGCGCGACAGGTCGAACGGGTGGTCCAGGCCGAGCGCGAGCGCGGCCGCGGCCGCGCCGATGGCCGGCCCCATCTTGAAGGCGTGGCCCGAGCCGCCGCCGGCGAGGACGACGTTCGGGAAGCCCGGGACCGCGTCGATGACGTAGTCCAGGTCCGGCGTCGACGTGTAGAGGCAGTGGTCGTTGAGGAACGGCGCGGGGTCCAGGTGCGGGAAGAACGCCTCGACGAACCGCTTGTTGGCGTCGACGATGGCCGCGCCTACCACAAGCGATCGTTTCCCCGGTCGAAAACTCTCGAAGAGGACGCCGGGCCGCGCTGCGGTTCGCCGCGGCGGCTTCCCGCTCCGGCGTCGAGCCGTTGCCGTTGACGGCGCGGGGCCGGTCCTCGGAGCCGTCGACGGCGAGCTCGAAGCCCACGTGGTGCGCGGACACCTTGACGCCCGGCACGTCGACGATGGGCAGGCCGTAGTACCCGTAGGGGCCCAGGCCGTTGTCGACGTCCGAGATGAACACGGGCATGGCCGCGTAGCCGTGGGGCACCGCGTCCGCGTCCCGCGGGGCAAAATAAGACACGGTCTCCGCGGTGATCTCCGTCGGGATGTCGAGGCCGAACCACTCCCGGGACCGCGCCGTGAGCCACGCGCCGGGCGCGACGACGACGGCGCCGGCGCGGAAGACGCGGCCGTCCCGCGTCGTCACGGCGGCGCCGCCGTCCGTCGACGCGACGGTCGCGACGGGCGTCCAGGGCGACAAGCGCACGCCCAGCGTCGCCGCGTAGCGCCAGGCGCTCTTGACCGCGGGGCTCGCGAAGAGCACGCCGAAGTTGGGCTGAAAGAGCGCGAGCGTGTCGCGGTCCGCGGGCCGGAACTGCGGGAACCGGCGCTCCAGGTCGTCCGCGCCGAGCGTCTCGTGCGCCAGGCCCTTTTTCGTGTAGAGCGCCGCGAGGGACTCGCGGCTGCCGTGGCTGTCGTAGTTCGCGCCGGTGTCGCCGCCGTAGAGGCTCACGCCGCCCGTCTCCGCGAGCACGCCGCCGGCGAAGCCGTCGAGCGCGCGCCAGTCCACCAAGCTCACATTCATCATGTCCACGTAGAGCTCCTCCTGGTAGGCGAAGCGGTAGATGCGGCCGTCGCCGTGGCTGCTGCCGTGGCGGTGGCCGGCGTCGTACTGCTCCAGGAGGCAGACGTGGCTGCTGTGGCGCTTCGCGGCGATGGCGCTCCAGACGCCCATGACGCCGCCGCCGACGACGATGACGTCGTATTTTTTCGAAGCGTTGCAGAGCTTCGGTCTTTTCCATTGCCAGGCGACGCCGGCGATGGCTGCGACGGCGGCGCCGAGGCGCAGGACGGTCGCGATCATCGCAACACGAATTGCCACAGCGATTCTTGAAGTTTTGATCCTCGTGTTGCACCAGAGAGCTCAGCTTGCATTCGACGGCGCCTCAC